GCAGAGCTCTAAGCTTTAAACGGGTGTTAAATGTGTCTCTTGAAAAAAAGAACCGCTTCACACAAAATCAAAAAACGTATCTGAAATGTGTCAATATATCACTATGGAACAGTTGGTATCAAATAATTAAAGGAGGGAGTCATTTTGGACAAAGCTAGTCTCTTTACATCGTAGATTTGGACAAAAAAGTGCAGAAACAAACCAGTTCAATTTCTGCAATTAAGCATAATTTCAAAAGCCAAAGAAATGATTGATATTCTACCCTTTTGGAAAGGCCGTTAGCGTTCTTCATTTTAAAATAAAAATAGTTAAAAGGGAACGTGAAATTTGGCCTGTTGGCTGTTGCTTTGAACCGGATGCTAACAGAGTGTTAATAATTATTTACACAGTCATAGGATGTGAACATAGCTTGAAAAGTGGAAAAGACCAACAGTATTTTCCAAAGAAATCTCAGTGGTAGCAGCTAAAGCATCATTTTTTGAACGTTTGAAAAAACGTTGAAATTAGTGACATTTATATTACTTTCTGACGGTTTAATAAGAATGAAATGGTTTAAAGAGGTGGATTATTGAATGAAGGGTGGCCCATAAGACATTTGTAGTTGTAAGGACTTTCAGAAACCTAAAACGTAAATAGCTGTTATAGAAAAGTGAATCCTGCAGTTTAAGGGGAATTCTGATTTAAGGGGTTAAAACAAGTTTCTAATGAATTGAAAGGAATTTCCAAAAGTTGACTGACACCGAGCTTTTTCAGCTCTTTAGCGAACCCCACTCAGATCCTGAAAACCTCTCACATTGATAGTGACACGCTTAACAAACTCTGTATTTGTGTTCTCAACAGCTGTAACAAATAACCATAACACAGACAGACAAACAATCATGATCTGTTTTCTTTTCAGACTGATTTTCTTGATTCAACGGGACCCTGGACACGGTCCGAAAATCTGTATAAAACCTTTCGTAGAGTCAACAGACACTCAGAAACGGAATGACATCATTAAAAAAACAACCACGGAAAAAAAAAAAAGTTAGAATAACTATGATACAAAGCATCACTTAAGTTACTGAATTCAAATATACACAGCCATTTCTTCATATTTACATTTGTACATCGCAAAGAAAATAACTTTTACTGCGTTAGAGAGCTGTAACTAGGACATCTTTCCCTTTAAATGTATTTAAATTCTGCATAACATCTATTGAAGAAAAAAAATAGGGCTGAAGGCACTTTTCTACCAAAGCAAACTGAAACATTATGGAGACCGGCAGAAGGCAATGACATCATTATTAAAAAGGATATACGTAAGAAGTCTTAACACGAAATGGAAAAGATGTTTATGAATGTAAACAAAGAAATGCTCATGCCAGGTATGATATAGTGGATTCTCTGTGCCAACTTTCAGACTTAAAAGTATTTAGAATCTTTTTTTCTTAGTTTTGTTTTATAAAAAGACAATGATATGAAGACGGTGTAGAAAAGGCCCGCAGGTGTGGGCTAAGGCAGACAGGAGCCGAAAGCACCAAACATTAAAATAATGTTAACAGCTGCCAGCCGATGATCTGTTAAATCTCCGAGGTTTAAACGAAAGAAAAAGGGAAGCGTCACTTCTGATGAGCGGAAAACAGTTTTTCAACAAACAAACAAAATCAGGAGCTGTGAAAAGAAAATTCACCTTGATTCCAACAGAGTGGTGACAAAATCCAGAAGAAGCTGTGATGCTTATTTTCAGTCTTTTTTTGTTGGTTTTTTTCTGTATTTTTTTGGTTTGTTTTTTGGTAAAATAAGCCTCCGTGCGGCAAACAAAGGAGTTAAATAAGGTGTGACAAACAAAAATAGAAAATTAAAGCATCTGTAATCTTCACTTTTGGTGCTTTTAAGAGTCGAAAAGTCTCTGAAGACATTGCAGTGTTTCCTGGTGTTCATACATAGTGTTCTTTAATGTCCTCGCTGAGCTGTGCTGGGTTCAGGTTTTTACAGCGGTTGTCTTTGCGGCTGTACACTGTCCGGTGCGGCGCCTTGACCGGAGCGCTGCGAGACGTGCAGACGACCCCTCCCTTGCCCGTCAGCCCCTTGTCCTGCGCCCCCGCTGTGGGGCATTTTAGAGCAGGACACTTCTCCCCCATGCCCAGCTCCTCGTCTTCCTCCTGCTCCCCCTCCTGCTCCCCTTCCTCCTCGCCCTCGGCCCCGTCGCACGGGACCATCAGTTTCTTGCATTCGTACTGAATGTCTTTGTCGCGGTTGTCCTTGGGGGCGCTGCTCCGCGGCGGCTCCAGCCGGTTGTTGACCGTCGTGTCCTCGGATCGGGACGCTCTCTCGCGCTCTTTCTTCCTCTTGCGCGTCCACCAAACGCAAACAACGATGCAGAAGATCCAGAGGAGGCTGAAGACCACGCACAGCACCGGGACCAGGTAACCTGCAGGACAAAGTCAAAGGACACGTTAGAAGAATATTTCTCTGTAGGAAATAAAGAGTACTTGACCCTGTTTGTCTTCAACAGGCTTGAACACATGCAAACAAATTGCATTTACACCAAGAACCTTCCACCCTCTCTGCAAAGTATTAAAGAGGCCCTATTGTGATTTGGGGGGTTTGTGTTCTATAGGGTTTTGTGCATGTTAATGGTCTGCAAAGGGTAAAATCCCTGTGTTCCCTACAGAGGGAGTTTCTGAGACGCCTCCATTCGACTTATCTGTTTACTTCTGGGACATAGTGACATCAGTATGTAACACTTGGATTTTATTGTACGTGATAGGCAAAGAGGCGGGACATCTCTAAGCGGTTGACCAATCACAACAGAGCCGTCCAGCTAACCAATCAGAGCAGACTAGGCTCTGGTTTCGCTGCAGCACCTCTTTTCACCCTCTGTCTGAAACCAGAGCCTAGTCTGCTCTGATTGGTTAGCTGGACGGCTCTGTTGTGATTGGTCAACCGCTTAGAGATGTCCCGCCTCTTTGCCTATCACGTACAANTAGCTGGGCACCTTCCGGGGACATCTACAAGAATGTGTGCACCTCAGTTAGTCGAGAAAGGTCTGAATTAGTTAAGGGAATTATACCTCTTTGAAGGGAGCCGGATCTTATGGCTCCATTCCTTTGCGAGAGCCGTTCAAAAGCGCAGTTTTTTTTAAAGGGGTGGGGTTAATAGGTTTATCTGCGAAATATACCTTTTATAATTCAATCAAATGTAGCC